CCCGCCGCTGCCGCACACACCATGTGACGCCCGTCGAGAGCGCATATGTGGCGAGCAGCACGGGGCCACCCAGGAGCACCTCCCAGGAGAGGCCGGGGCAGCTGCGGGCGCGGGGGAGGTTGGGGGATGGACGTATCCGAAGGCGAACGGGCGCTCGGGGCGGCCGCCGGAGTTGGTCGGTCGAGGGGGAGGGGGCGAGGGCGCAGGGTGAGCGGCATCGACGGCCCCCCGCCACGCGAGGGCCGCTTCTGCAGGGGTCGAAGGGGGCGGCTGGTGGATGGGGATGACGTCGCCCCTCGGCTGCCCTCATCGGCCGCAGAGGCAGGATCGGCCAAGGCTCCCGCCTCGCCCCTCTCCCTCTTGCCTGCTGCAGACGTGCAGGATTGCTGCCGGGAGCGTGACGTAGCCGGCGATCTTCTGGGCTGTCTGTTCGATGTGAATTCAGGAGAGGCCAATGTGCGCGGTCAGCATGCGGCAGGCCAGCCGGCAGGGACCGCCACTGCAAGAGTCACCGGCGCGGCTGCAGCGGCGACAGAGCAGCATTGACGCGCCTGCGCGTCGGCGAGGTCAAACAGTCCCGCCTTCCGCAGGTTGTATCCGATTGCGAGCAGCGCGAGGGACTCCAGCGTCCCCGCTATGGCTGGCGGGAGATCCATTCTTGTGCAACGCGTTTCAGATCCGACCGGCAGATCGCTGTCAGCTCATGGGTAGTTGTGAACATCATATGTAGTACAGTCGTGTATATGTGCACTGTCTACTTCGCCCTGCAGCACGCTCACGGCCCGCCTGGACGGCGAAGTGTGCCAGGGCAGTGCCAGGGTGACGCCGAGTCGTCACCCGCAGCCAATGCGCCAGTTTATTGGCCAAGCAAATTCATCATGCCACGTGCCGGAGCGCCCACCAATCCGGCACCAAGCATCAAAGCATTTACTCAGCCTCCATGCGCTTATCGGCCCGCGCACGCTGCGCCTCGCCGCGCCTTGCGAGCGGCGGCGCGCACGCGGCGCCTTGACGCCTGGCGGGCGCCCCCAGCCAATGCAGTGTTTTGAACCGCCCCTGAGCCTGGGGACCCTGCATTGACTGCCGAGGCTGTGCCCACATTTGGCAGCACCAGTGGTGTTGTTCGGAATGATTTGGTTTACTCGGCAGCTGCTGCGCCGGCGCTGGTCGCCAACGCAAAAGATTTCGGAGCGGCGGCGAAAATGGTCCGCTTTGGGAGCGGGAAGGGCGCGCGCTGACGATAGCGACAGGCGCGCCGGTGTCGAGCAGTGCGTGCCTCGGCCCCTGAGGCTGCGGGCGGCGCTCCCTTGGCCCGCAACCACTGCCCAATCTTCCCACACCAGCCGTGGGCCTTGCCCTCGACTGCATCAAACCCCTGGCACGCGAGCGGCGCCCGCGGCACAGCCCATTCCATGGCAGCGTGCTCTAAAAATGAAGGTGGTTGTGGGTTAATGACTCTTGGCTGCGAAAAGGTGCCTTGAGGAAACCGCGATTGTGGGGGCAGCAGCTCGCATCAGGGCACGAAATAGGCCGGCCGCATCCTAACTCTAAAAACACAACCCTGCATTGTCGCCGCCGCAGCGCAGCTGTCGCCTGATAATGCACCAAGCCGTCGTCTGAAGAGGCGGCCGCCCCGTCCTGGCGCGACACGCCGCGCCGGGCTCACAGCTGCGCGCCCGAGCGGCTGCCGCCATAGCCGCCGTAGCCGCCGCCGCTGCGGCGGG